GACCAAATGCCTTTATCAACAGAGTCATCTTGTTGGTCCCTACTGGCATTTTGTCTCTATGAAATGTACTTGTCAAGGACAGCTAATTAGACTTGCTATGCTTTGCTAGACAGACTAACTTGGAACTCATTCAAATTTCATTCTAATTTCCTGAGCCTCAACAGCAGGAGGTACAGTCAGAGTAGAAAGCTGTTTTGTACATCCAAGGGCATGGAATTCCATATCCTCAGTTATTACCAAAGCTGTCATCAGCTTACTCACCCCTATAGAATTTGCTCTCCTCAGAGATTCTGAATCCATCCAAATGCCTCAAAATCATATCCTTATTACCAAATCCTGCCAAACATATTACTTCAGCAGCCCTGAGCTCCTCATTTTGCCTCTAGAATCATCTATCACATGAGCCATGAGAACACTGTGCTGTTTTATTCCTACCTATTCTCATCACTATCAGGAAGGAATTTGAACATCTAAGTCCTGCTCAGAATCCTTTAAAAGTTACTCATTAGGGGTGGCAGTGATCCCCAAATTTCTTGAAATGGGGCAGCTCAGGGATATCATAAAATGGTAAAACATATAAAGATAAAAATAGGAACATTTTATGTCACCTTTTCTCTTGTAGATGAAAGCATCAGCTCTGGATCAGCACTATTATATTGCATATTGGCTACTGATGGCTCTACTACCTGTCTGTGAGTTCTTTCTTCTGTCTAAGGATTGGAAGAATGAGAAAGAGAAAAGGAGGGTGGGCACAATGCAAAAAAAAGCATGTTGTCAATGCAGAAATGAGCCTAATTGGAGCATTTTTTAAGGAAAGGGAACAGAGAAGAAAGGAACAGGATAGAGGAGAGAAAGGAAGAGAGAAAAAAGAGGTGATGGTGGAAGGAGCTGGAGAGATAACTCAGTGGTTAAGAATACTTTGTGATCATTTAGAGGACCAGAGTGCTATTCCCAGCATCCATTTTGGGTGGCTCACAACTGTCTATGACTCCAACTCCAAGGTACCTGATGCTCTCTTCCAGCTTCCATGTGCACATCCCCTCTCCTACATGCCCCCCCCAAAACAAATAAAATGAAAACAGATTTTTTAAAATTTTTTATATGCATTGGTGTTTGACCTGTATGTCTTTGTGAGGGAGTCAGATTCACTGGAACTTGAATTAAAGACAGTTGTGAGCTGCCATGTGGGTGCTAGGAATTGAACCTGGGTCCTCTGGAAGAGTAGCCAGCGCTCTTAAACACTGAACCATCTCTCTAGCCCCCTAAAACAAATCTTTTAAAAAGCAAGAGGAAGGAAAGGAAAAATAGAAAGGAGAAAGGAAACAGAAAAGGAAGGGTAAGAGAATAAAAGAAAATTTAAAAAAAAAAAAGAAAAGGAAAGGAAAAAAAGGAAAGAGATCTGGTCTACCTTAAAATTTGCCATAAATAAATGAACTCTGCAGTAGCAGCTGTTCAACTTTACTCCGTGACAAGAGAAGGGGTGGGTCAGGAGGAGGGGAGGAAGAAAGAGGGGGAGAGAAAGACAGGAACACAGAGAGACAGGCAGAGACATAAAGAGAAACAGGGAGAGACAAACAAAGGAGATGGGGAGATTTTAGACACCGAGTCTTTACAGTACTTTGCAGTGATGGGAAAAGCGGCTTCCGGAAGCTTTGCACTGTGTGGAGACTCACTGCCTATATTGTACAAGAGTACTTAAAAGACATGTTAAACCGAATATTAAAGAATGCATTTTTATTTTACATAGCCTTCTAATTTTTAGTGACTCACTGTGTGGATAAGATTTTCTAAGTGGGGCAGTGGTGGTGCACGTCTTTGATCCTAGCATTCAGGAGGCAGAGACAGGCAGATCTCTGAGTTCCAGGCCAGCCTGGTCTACAGAGCAAGTTCCAGGATAGCTAGGGATACACAGAGAAACCCTGTCTTAAAAAAACAAAACCAAACCCACAACCAAAACCAAACAAACAAACAAAAATTTTTCAAAGACAGGCTACTTAGATAAAGAAACTTAAAAGCATTAAGTACAGCTAAGATATATTAATAAAAATACCTATTTGACGTTAAATCTTTTACAAGATCTTTTTTTGATAGATTGTAGACCTAAGCTTTAAAAGTAATTGCTAAAGTTTGTCAAATAAAATATAGTTGTTTTATGATATTAAAGAAAGAGGTTGCTAAGTCTTATGTTAAAATTAATGTACATTAAAATTTTATCTCTGGGGATGGAGAAATGTCTCCATGGTTAAGAGCACACACTCCTCTTATGCAGCTCACAATTGCTTATAACTCTACCTCTAGGTGATCTGATACCTCTCTAACCTCCCCCCCCACACACACAAATAAAAATTAAATAAAGAAAATGTTTTTTTAAAAATGCATAAATGAAATGTGTTATTTTATACAATGGATCCTGTAAAGAATTGAAAAGGAATAAACCATAGCTCTGCTTAACAACACGGATGATCTTCTCAATTTATCTCTAAGAAAGAGTGAAAGGGTAAGCCATAGGACCATACAAGCAACAGAGAACTGACCCAGAACACACAAACTGCTTAATTTGGAAGGAAAAGTAACATGTAACTAAAGTTTTCCTGGTTCAGCTCAGCTCCTGTAGCCCTGTGCCTGAACTCAAGTAAACACACAGAGACTTATATTACTTATAAACTGTATGGCCGTGGCAGGCTTCTTGCTATCTAGTTTTTATATCTTAAATTAATCCATTTCTATTAATCTATATGTCGCCACGTGTTCTGTGGCTTTACCTGTTGCCTTTACTTGTTGCTCCCTGGATGGCAGGCTGGTGTCTCCTCACTTCCATCTCCCAGCATTCTCTTCTCTCTTGTCTCGCCTATACTATACTTCCTGCCTGGCTACTGGCCAATCAGCATTTTATTTATCAATCAATCAGAGCAACACATTCACAGCATCCCCAACAGTAACACATTACAAAAATGGCCAAGAGATTGAACAGTAGAGGATACTTCAATTGTTGATTAAACCTTGAAAAACATTTCATTTCAAATTCACTAGTTATCAGAGAAATGCAAATTAAGCCAACATTAGATGTCTTACTTAGATTCTATTAGTGTGATGAAATGCCATGGCCCAAAAGCAAGTTGGGGAGGAAAGGATTTATTTGGCTTACACTTTAGCATTGCTGTTCATCACTGAAGGAAGTCAGGACAGGAACTCAAACAGGGGAAGATCTCAGAGGCAGGAGCTAATGCAGGACATGGTCTTAACCACTGTGCCATTTTTCTGGCCTCTAGCCTACTACCTTTGGAAAACAGTTATACAATGAAAATAGGAATTTCAAAATTTTTTGATTGTGATGTGTTTTCGCCGTCCCTAAAATTTTGTGTCTTACATTTATACACACACACACACACACACACACACACTCAGAAAAAATGGGGGCAGAATTTTTATATTGTTAAGAAGTCTTCCAAATGAGGAGTTTGGGTAGATTTTGAACTATTATTAAAATGCTTGGCCAGGTGTAGTGGTGAATTCTTGTAACCCTAGCATGAGAGGGCCTAAGGCAGAAGGATTACCAATCTGAGAAACATGGAGCCTACATAGTAAGGCCCTGTCTAAAAATCATCATCATAAATCCCTGATCAAAACCCTCAGCTTATATGATTTATGACATAGTGATGTGAGTGATTCTTAATTTTTTTTGGCTTTTTTGAGACAAGGTTTCTCTGTGTAACAGTGATTTTTAATTTTATAAATAATATTTTAGCAACAATTAATGTTACTGGTCACTTTCATGTGTTAACTATGTTTCTTTCAAAATGGTTTCCAAATATTAATGTACTTGAATCTCACAATGATCTTTGAGGTAGCTTTCATTATATTTTGATATTATAAAGAACATGTTCAAGGTTTTACACCTAGAAGTGGGTAGAACCAAAATGAGTATGTATACAATAAACAAGAATGTAAGTATGGAGAGTGCTGAAAGTTTAGTTACCAATTTAAAAAAGTTTGGAGGCAATTTTCAGAACTTAAGAGTAAAACTCCACTACTTGTCATGACCTAGCCTCTTGATACTATTTAGCTTCAATGGGTCAGTCTCAACATTTAGCTTCCTTGTAGTTGTAAAACTCATGCCCCTTAGGAGCATCTGGTACTTCTTCAACAATGTTCCCTAGAGAAGGTCTTGCCTCTCTTCACCTACCAGGCAAACTCTCATTCAACATGGACATCTCAGGACAAGTTCTACCTTCCCTACATCACCTGACATTGCAGCTAGGTGAGCTCAGCTCTGGCCCCTGAACAACACTACTCTTTGGATGCTCATAAACAGAGTTGTCTCCCAGAAGACTGGGAAGGCTTGGTACTTAAAAAAAAAAATCTCTGCATCCCAGTGTCTCACACATGAAAGTGGTGGCAACAACACAATTTTTTTTCAGAATAAGGTAGATAATTGCTACTGCTCTTTGTTTCCTCCCTGGGGTTGAAGGTAAGTCCATTCTACTGAAGATACAATGCACATTGGACACAAGATTTGGAGGACCTGAGCTGGATCTGACTTTAAGGCCTCCTCCCTGAGGACTTGCTGCCATAGTACCAGAAGATGCTATTATAGCTTCCAAGGGAGAGAAGCAACCAGCAGTACACCCAACTGTATGAACTTCAGTGATGACCAGCATAGCACAGTAACCCCAAGGATGCTATACTGGCACTTATATCTTGGTGGTAACCAACAGCTCTGTAACTGGACTTAAGGCCCACTTAACAGGAGGGTCTTTCAGGCTTGGGAATTTCCCCAGGTCCTTTCTTGTCCCAAACTCCTCGCTTCCAAGTTCTTAACTCTTAATATTTTACTTAACTCCATTATTACTTCTCACTTTCTCTGTCATTAGTGAGTAGCACCTTTGTGTGTATATGTGCACAGTGTATATGAGATGGGGGTGTGGTAAAGAGTTGAGGGTCAGGCAAAGAGCATAAAAGTGAGTATACATGTGTTCAGTAAGCCAAGAAATAGTGTGAGATATGGATGTGATTGTTGATGGTGAATTTGATAAGAATCTTGGAATATGTGTGCTCTTTATATGTATCTATTTGAATTAAATCCATTAGAGTCTTTCCATTTTCCTTTAAAAACAGCAGCAACAACAAATAGGAATTCACTATGTAGCACAGGGTGGCCTTGAACTTGTGATGCTTCTGCCTCAGCTTCTCAAATGCTGGGGTTACAAATGTGGTTAATCATAGTCAACTTGTACTTTTGTTTTGTTTTTCTCCCCACTAGATACAGTATTCTTCAGAGCCTGTTCTGCTAAGGTTATAAATTTCCATTCTTCTATAATCAAGGGACATCCACTCACTACATTATTTCTGTTAAGAACCTCCATGCAGTGGTTTGAATGAGAATGGCCCCATAGGCTTATATATTTGAATGCTTGGTCACCAGTTGGTGAAACTGTTTGGGAAGGATTAGGAGATGTGGTGTTAAAAGCTTTGAAGTTTCAAAAGCCTACACCAACCCAGCATCTCTCTCTTTCTGCCTGCTGTCTGTGGATCAGGATGTAAAGCTCTCAGCTACTGCTTCCAGCACTGTCCCTGTTTGCCTGCTCCTTGCCATGATGATCATGGACTAATCCTCTAAAACTTTAAGCAAGTCCATAATTAAATGTTTTCTTTTGTAAGAAGTGCTTTGGTCATGGTGTCTCTATACAGGAAC